CTTCAGGTGGGGGGTACTGGCCCTGCTTGCTGGGTGTGTAGGTCTGGCCCAGCGTGCGCCCAGTGTGGGTGTGGCTGCAGGCAACAGGTGGCCACAGGTCTCCTCTCAGGAAAGGCTCCCCAAAGCGGGAGGGCAGGCAGGCCTGGGGTAGGGAGGGGGCTCAGTCTTTAGTTCAACCAGACTCACTAGGACGTTTCCTCCTGGAGCGCCAAGCTGCCTCTGTTGGGAAGTCGTTCACTCAAGCATTCATTCATTCATTCATTCATTCATTCATTCAATCATTACAGCTCTTCACAGCCTGGGCCCCTGGCGCGTGGGTGCCTGTCCTGACCAGGGACCCTGCAGGATGCTGGGAAAGGAAGGAGGCACCTATGGGCCATTCCCATGGAGAGCGCGAGGTTGAGGTCTGGGCTGCACACCTGGGTGGTCCTGAGGGAGGGTCTGGAAGGAGAGGAGGAAGTCCAGGTGGGGGCTGCCAGGTGAGCTAAGGAGGGCGGAGGCGCCACCCTGAGCAGCGAATGAAGGTAATGGAGGTGTGTGTGTCGGCAGAAGGGGGACATGTGCACATGTGGCACCTCGAAGCAGCCACATCTGCCCTGTGCACATCTGTCCCAAAAGCAGAGGGTGGCCCCGTGTCATGCCAGTTGTCCGGGAAGCCACATGGGACCCACGTGATTCTGGGAGCCAATGAAAGGACTCCCTTCAGAAACTTCTGTCAGATCTGGGTGGTTCCCTTAGGACAGTGGTTCTCAACCTTCTGGCTCTTTAAATACACAGTTCCTCATGTTGTGACCCAACCATAAAATTATTTTTGTTGCTACTTCATAACTGTAATGTTGCTACTGTTATGAATCAATATGCAGGATGGTCTTAGGCGACCCCTGGGAAAGGGTCGTTGGACCGCCAAAGGGGTCGGGACCCACAGGTTGAGAACCGCTGCCTTAGGAGCAGAAAGGTGAGGCCAGCAAAGGGACAGAGGGAACTCAGGTTTGGGCGACAAAAACGTGTGGTGTAATTCTGTCCACTTTTCTGTGGAGGCACCGGTTATGACAATAAACACCCGTTAAAGAAATAAAGGAGCTGCAGTGTGGAGAGGTTCTGCCAGGGGGAGGTGCTGGCCCATCCAGGGAAGGGGCTGGAAGAGGGGTCCACCAGACAGCCTCTCCCTGCCATCTAGGTCCCACCCCCTGGGCCCTGACTGCTGTCCAGGCTGCTGCCTGCCACGAAGGAGTGGGCAGCTGGGGCTCCATAGTGTCCCTGGCCACTCCACCCTCTTTCTTAGCACCTGCTGGGGCCCCAGTCTCTTAGGGCCTGGCCTGACTCTTCCTGGGGAAGATGCTTGGCTTACAAAGTCCCCTTGGGAAACCACACACCCTTGGCTCAGGGTGCCTAGAGGCCCCTCGGCAGAGCCTGCGCCCTGGGGGTGCACATCCCCTGGGGTGCACATCCCCTGCGCCAACACTGGGAAGCCCGCTGGTGTTCGTGTCTTCATTCAGCAGCATTTATTCAGCCCCCGAGAACGTGAGGTGCCTGCACCTGGAATACTTGCGGGTTTTGGTTATACAACTGCTACATGTCCGGTCAGCACATGCATTCAGCAGGTGCCCTTGCAGAGGGGAGGGGAGGCTGAGTGCGGGGGCCCAGCTGTGACCAGAATGGAGGAGGCGTGAGCCATGATGAAATGCCTGGAGAGTGGTCCAGGGCAGAAGGCCAGCACAGTGAGAGGGTGAGCGGGGAGGTCAGGGGTGGTGAGGCCCCAGGCCTTGGCTGGATGCACACTGGTCGTTATATGGCGATTAGGCCGAGTTGGAGCATGGAAGCTGCACCTGGCAATAATGCAGGTGAGAGAAGGGCAGGGGTTGGACCAGCTGGGCCTCCTCTGCCTACCCATTTGTGCCCCTCCCACCCCAGCCTATCCCCCTCCCCAGCCTCCCCTGCTCACTGCCTTTCACAGACCCCCTTGCTCCTTCACGCTGGGCCTGCCTGTCAGGCTCCTAGGGCAGGGGTCCTGGTCTTTTCTGTCCCGAAGACTTGCCCCAGGTCCCTTGGAGTAGGAGGGGCTGCGATTTGCTCCAGCCCGCCACCTTCAGCCATCCCAGAACCAGCTCATCCTCTGCATCCCTAACCCTGCCCCCTCCCCCACGCGCCCTATGGGTCCATGGTCCCGGTCCAGTCCAGCAAGGCGCTAACGCGAGTCCCATTGTTTCCTGTTTGTTACCAGCCCTCCCGCACGGTGAGCTAGGCAGCCGCAGTTGGCCAGTTCACGTGGTTCCCCCAGGGCACAGCTGGCCCCTAGCAGGTGCCCAGTAAAGAAATGTTGAACGAGTGAGGTCTCTGCCATATGGCGCGCGCTCCATTTCCCCACGACACTGCTGGCCTTCCTCGTTCGCAGGACGTTTTCTCTGAGACCAGGAGGTGGCACCGGCGAGCCTCTCCCTGCGGAGGTCCGCCCAGGCAGCGCGCCCCAGCCGGAGGCGCTCCTTCCCGATGGCAGCCACCCGACCTTCCCGGGAGGAGGAGTGTTCCTTGGATCCTACCGAGGGGGCGGCGCGTGGGGCGCAGGAAGAGGGGGTGCGGTGGGAGCCCCGGTAGTGGGTGGAGGGGGCGCAGGCAGCGAAGCGCCCAGAGAGCGGGCAGGGAAGACGAAGCTAACAGGCCTTTATAAGGGGATCAGGGCGGGAAGCGGGCGGCATCCAGGAGTGTGCGGCGGCGGTCGGGGCACGGACTCGGGACCCCAGCGCGCAGGGCAGGACTGGGCCCTGGGGAGCCCATCGAGAGGCCTAGGACCAGAAGAGCGTGGAAAAGAGGCCGCCCTCACCCCGCACTCCTGGCGCCCCCAACTCACCCGGTTCCTGCAAAACCGCAGCCGGCCCCCCATCCCGCACTCCCGGCCTGGGTTCCCTGGAGAGCCGTGCACGCTTCGGCCGGTGGAGACGACAGTCCCACTCGCGACCCCAAGTCAGCCAGGGAGCGCCTGGATAGTAGACGGGCCTGGGGTGGTTGGAGAGCAGGGCAGCGCGTCGGGGTCTCTTTCCTCAGCGGAAACAGGGCTGGGAGCCCCCCGCACGGTGTTCAAGGAGCCAAAGCGCGGCACTCAGAGTTGGGCGTCCCTCCTGCCTTGAGCCAGGGTTGCGGGGACCCTTCCGGAGGGTAACAGCCTCCATCGTCCCGCCCCGGCGCGCCCCTCCTGGCCTGCCCCTAAGCACCTTGAGGACGCTGCGGCCCGGGGTGGGCTCCGAAACGCAGCGGAGGGGTCCGCTGGCCCCCTCGGCCCGCCTCCTCTGGCCCCGCCTCTGAGCCCGCAGCTCCCGAGCTCATGGAGCTTCGCTGCTCGCCGCTGCCTCCAGGGAGCCCAGAGCAGCCCAAACCCTGCGAGGTGGGGTAGAGGGGGCGTTCCCTGTACCGGCTCTGGGAGCGCACACAGGCTGTAGTTTCCTCCAAGAAAGTGGGGCGCGAGCTTGGCCGGGGCGGACCCCGAGCTGCGGGAATCCCAAGAACAGCGATCTGGGTGTCTGGGCCCTGGCTCTCGGGACAGCCACGCCCAGATCCCCGAGAGCGGCCTGGGCGGAGGGAGCTGGGAGAGAGACTCCCATGCGCGGGGCTGCACCGCACGCGAACCCGGGGCAGCCTGGGGCGCGCACGCGAGGTGGTAGATCATCCCACGCCCACCAGCGCGCGGCAGCGGCTTTCCAAGCTGCCATCTGGCGTAGGGACTCGAGCTCCGCCACTAACTGCACAAAACGAAAATGGACCCCCGAGGGCCGCGGTGCGAGCGGACGCTGGGCCCCTGCACAGAGCCGGGAGGGTGGCCTTCGTTCCTGCCACCGAAACCCTGGGGGCCGGGGCGAAACGGCAAAGTCGTTGAGGACGGACCGCACCGCGCGAGGCTGGCCTGGCGCACCGACCCCCTGAACGGCTGTCCGTGTTCGCACGTTCGTGCCGCAGCTCCAAATGGGCAGCGGACGATATTCACGTCTGCCACTTGCTAACATGTAACGCCGCCAAAAAGGACAAAGGCACCTCCGCCAGCATTTACTCGGCGCCCCTCTCGGCCGGCGCTCGGCTCCACCGCAGTCTTATTGGAGCCCACATCAGTTCCTGGGGATGGGGCTTTTTGTACCCAGAGGACACCATGGGGGGGTCCCACCTGCCTGTCTAAAGGCCGCACTTTGGCCCGCGAACCCGTGTGGAGGCCATGGACGCGGCCCCGCTCCCTGGGCTTCAGGGCCCTGAACCTGCGGGGGGCGGGGGGGTGGGGGGGGACCCATTCCCAGGCTCGGGCTGCGCTCACGGGGGGAAAAGCTGCTGGGCTCGGTCGGTCGCAACTCGGGGCTCAGGTTGCCTCCCCAGTTGAGCTGCGGCTTATACCCTGTACCCAAGACGCCCGACCGGCAGGCCAAGGCCGTCCGGGTGTTCCAACCTGCAGAGGACAGTCCTTCGGGCTGGGAGGGACAGGGAGCCACCCGGCCGCGTGCGAGAGTCAGCGGTCTCGCGTGTGGCCCCGGGACAGGCCTCGTCACCACACCAGGGGTTAGTCAGTAAAAGTAGAGCAGATTCGCGAGGGCCAAGTCTGACCACTGGGCCCCCGGACTCTGAGCTCCTTCCCTCCGCCGCGGGTTTGCACCCCTGAGTTCCGGGAAGTGTTTGCGGTCCTGCCTCAACCTGAGAGCGGGCGGCCGGAGATCCGCGGGGCGGGGCGCTGGCCGCCTCCCCAGACAGCGCCCTCCCGCGTGGGGCGCTTCGTTGAATGGGGAGCACGACGGAGCTGCGTAGTGGATCCTCAAATCTGCATTCTTTCGGGCGATAAAATATGCTCTCGTATTTTTTCCTGATTTCCCATTAAAACCTTTGCCTAACTAAACTCCCATCCAACGGGATTTATTTCGTCCCGGGGGAGATAAATCGGGCAAATTTACAGCCCGGAAGGCACCTGCCTCGCTAATGGGCCCTTCATGGAGTGCGCGGCGGCGGGGGCGCGCGGCGGGAGGGGCGCTGGCCACATGGATCGGACCGCGGGCGCCCGCAGCCAATCGCGCGCGCCGCGCCGGGGCCCCGCGGTTTATCAACGCGCCCCGGTCCGCGCGGCACCGCTCCGACCGGCCCCGGGAAGCCACCGGCCCGCGGCCCGTCGCCCGACGCCCCGCCGCCCGCCGCCGCCCGGCCCGAGCCCCGGCGCCTGCCCTTCCGGGGCCGTCAGGGCCCATCCGGGCCCAAGCGCCCCGCAACCCCCCGTGAAGCGGTCGGCCCGACCAGGCCGCGCCGAAAAACTTTCCCGGGCCGGAAGGGCACATGAGACGTCGCTGTTCCGTACGCGCTGCAGGCCCGCCGGCTTCAAGGCACCGCGCTGGGCGGGCTAGGCGAGCAGCTGCCGCTAGGCACCCGCACGGCATCAGCGACATCCTGGGGCAGGCCCGTGGGCGCGGCCGGCGGCGGCCTCCTGGGCGGCTTGCCCCGTCTCAACGGGCTCGCCTCGTCGGCCGGCGTCTACTTCGGGCCCGCGGCCGCCGTGGCGCGCGGCTACCTCAAGCCGCTGGCCGAGCTGCCCGGACGCCCGCCCATCTTCTGGCCCGGCGTGGTTCAGGGCTCTCCCTGGAGGGACCCGCGCTTGGCCGGCCCGGGTGAGTGGCGCGCGCAGGAGTGGGCTGGGGGCGCGGGGCTGGGGGCGGCGGCCGCGCTCATCCGCTCTCCTGTGCAGCCCAGGCCGGCGGGATCCTGGACAAGGACGGCAAGAAGAAGCACTCGCGGCCGACCTTCTCGGGCCAGCAGATCTTCGCGCTGGAGAAGACCTTCGAGCAGACCAAGTACCTGGCGGGCCCGGAGCGTGCGCGCCTCGCCTACTCCTTGGGCATGACCGAGAGCCAAGTCAAGGTGAGGCGGCGGCCGGGCCGGGCGGCCTCTCGCGGGTCCCGCGGCACCAGGCAGACCCTCGCGCCCGCATCCTGCGAACGGCCCCTAAGCGGCCGCCCGCCTCGGCCCGGCCCTTGAGGCGCAGCTGCCCTGCTGCAGGGGTGGGGGCCAATGTGCTGGCCGCGGGCTGCAGGTCGGGCATTTTGGGAGGCGCAGCCTGATGTCCCCCTGCACCCCCAGGTGTGGTTCCAGAACCGCCGAACCAAGTGGCGCAAGCGGCACGCGGCGGAGATGGCGTCGGCCAAGAAGAAGCAGGACTCGGATGCCGAGAAGCTGAAGGTGGGCGGCTCTGACGTGGAGGACGACGACGAGTACAACCGGCCCCTGGACCCCAACTCGGACGACGAGAAGATCACGCGGCTGCTCAAGAAGCACAAACCCTCGAACTTAGCGCTGGTCAGCCCGTGCGGCGGCGCGGGGGACGCCTTGTGAGGTCTTGCGAGGCAGGAGGGCCAGGGTGGGGCGCAGCCGGCCCTCCCCGCCTCCAGCCGGCGTTGTATATATATTTTTACAGAATAAGTTATAAAGCTGCCGGCTCGGGCTCGGCGGAATCACTTTGTATCATCAATAAATTATTTAACACGGCCCCGTCGGAGCCGCGGCTCCGGCTGCACCGCGTGTTTCTTCCCGTCCTGTCTCGGCGCCTGGGTCGTGCGCGGCGAAACCAGCCAGGTGCCCGCGCCCTAGAGCGGAGGTTGAGGGCTGCTCGGGCTTCTCCGGGGACAGCGAAGGCCCGGCGCGCAGGAGGGCGGCCCGGCCCTGCGAACCCTAGGCGGGAAGGAGCCGCTGGGTGCGGCGCTGGAGGAGCTGCAAGGAGCCAGACGGAGCGGGGCGCGGCGCCGGCAGGTGAGACGCGGGGCGGCAGGTACAGCCTCTCCTCCCCGGGGCTGCGGCCTGCGGCCTGCCAGCTGGGATGAGGTTTGGGGCGGATTGAAACACATTTGGGGGCCCGTCCTGCTCCCTCCCGGCCCATGGTTCCTGGATTTGCTGGATTGTGTGTTAAAACAGGCTTAGCCCCAGTAGCTGAATATTTTCAAGTATTCCCTGGCACTCGTGTGGAGTGAAATCAGTGGGGTTTTCAATTCCTCAGCATCATGGCCTTTCAACTCCCATTACAGATCTTTCCTCAGTAGAAAGCGCTATTTAATTTAAACTACTCTGCGGATGTTGGGGGAGCGCGGGGAGAGCGCAGTCCCGTCAGCCGGGAGGGCGAGCATCTCCTGCTAGGGGAGTGGGGTCTGCAGCTCCGCCCTCCCGCCCACTCGCTTGCTCTGGGAATCAGCGGGACTCCCCCCTCCTCCTCTTCCGGTCCTCCTGCCTTCTGAGGGCAGGTCCAGGGCTGGTCCAGGTACCATCACCACCACCCTGATTCTCGGTTATCGAAGACCGTGGCCCAGGCTCTGCATGTTGCATCTTAATGGCCATAAGGATTGGGTACTAATTTTAAAAATTAAATGTGATTGTTACTGTATGACTTCTCTTGGAGGTTTTGAAAATGCTAAAGAGGAATGCAAATGCCTGAAGTTTTTTTGTTTTGTGGGTGTTTTTTGTTTTTGCCACATGGCTGTACCATCTAAAAAATCAGACATTTCTAAGGAACCACTGGCTGTTTTTTCGTTCTTTTTAAGAGAGACAATTTATTTTATTTCTTCAAGTGAACTATTGTCTCAGCTCAAGTTAAGAGCAAAGGAATTTCCAGTTTCAGGTTGAGGAAAGCGTGCATTTACATAATCCTGTGTAAAAATGCCGAGGGGTGAATCCCATTAGTTATCACCGCAGTAAGAGAGCCAACAGATTACTTTTCTGCTCTTAATTCTCAGCTTAGTTTGTGTGACGGTAAATGATGGAATGAAATTCCAGGATTTCTAATGAGCTTAGTCCTCAACAGGCTAAGGAGGGCACAGTCCTGTCACTTAGCATTTCAAAGAGGACAAACCCGGGAAGGAAGAAGACAAAGCCAGGCAGAACTGCGTTCACCATGATCAATTTTATTGCTTAGGAACCGGAGCGGTCATTTCTAAAGGCCTCCACAGTGACCAACAGCTGAAACCCCGTTGAACAGAATCACCGCTTGGAAGTGGACAGCACAGTGACCGCCCTGACCCAGACCCCCCCGTATTGTCAAGAACACAGATTCGGCAAGCGGACCCCGCATCACTTGCACTGGTAGTGACTGACCTAAACAGCGTCTGCCTGCGGCCTCCAGCCCAGGACTTCTTAGTGTTCTAGAGCAGACGAATAAACGCAAGGCTTCTCCCCCGCAGGCTCCCGTCAGCTCTGCGCTAACTCAGTGCTGGGAGAGTGTGGGCAGCACGGATCTGCGTGGGGCGTTTGCAGCTGAGCCCAGGACGTTTACAGTTCTGTTCCTCTTAATGTTTTTATGTACAGCCCATGTTAAAAGCAATTTCTATTGGAAGCGAACTAGGCTATTTTTACTTCTCCCATGATATTATTGTTTTATATATAATACTTGGCACCATAGAACAGTAACAAAAGACAGACAAAACGGTTTACAAAATTCTTAAAAGGTACAACCAAGTCGGCTATAACCTTCACATTCAGGTCTAATATTACACAGGAGAAGGCAGAGGAGCGACGGCTGCTAGGGTAGCCAGGTGTACTGGCGCTGATCACCCACGATGCACTGCCAGGCACGTCACCTGTTCTGCAGGTATGTGTGTGACGTTCACATAACTAAACTCCTAGACTCCAATTCTACCTGCTGATATGACACTCTTGAGCATTCATACTGGAAAGCATATTTAGCGTAAGTTTTGGTAAGATTTATAAATTATTTTAAAAAGTATATATTTATATATATTTATATATAAAACGGGGAAGCAGCTGCAGTGTGATTCAGACACCATGTACATGGCAGTGGAAGGAACAACACAGGAGGGGCCATCGGCTGGAGCCAGGGCCCTCGCTGTCCTCACAGTGGCCACGCTGCCCGAGTCAGCACAGAGCCCGCTCCCGCCCGGGCACACCTCCAGCTGGCAGAGGGGACATTTGACACCCGTGGGGTTCCCACGCTGACAATTATTACAAACTGAAAACCGTGAAGTCTAAAATACAGAATCTCTGCTGTCTATTAGAGTTTTGGCAACAGGACTGTGACTTATTAAAAAACCCAATATTTCTACTTAATGTCACATGAACAGACAAGACAGTGAGGTATGTGAGGCTCCCCCGGGAGGGCCGGAGGCTGAAGCGAAGTGTGGGCCGGCCGGCTAGCGGGTGGCGCTCGGGCGGGTTAATCGATGCAGCTGTTGAGTGTGGATTTCCATGGACGCGACTTCCATCTGCTCCTCACGCTATAGGCAGGGCTCACGAAGGGTCCTCTCGTGTCGCTGGCATCGCCTCCCTGCAGTGGAACCAGTGGTTTGTTAAAGGGACAGACACACCGGGAAAAGCTCAGAAAAGGTGAACTCAAGGGAAGGAGCCATATTTACCACACGTCACTGCACGACACAACACTTGTGCACGTGTGCGTGAGCTTTACCTGCCCCGGGCGCCACGCGGAAGGCCAGGAACACGGGCTGCAGCGGGAGAAGAGGAGGGCGTCAGAACTCAGGCAGCCCGCGCCGCACCCCACCCTCACCCTCACCCTCGCCCTCTGCTCTGGGCTGCCTGAACCGAGGAGCTGGTGACCTTGGGGCCAAGGACGGTTACCCGGTTGCGCATGGAACCCAATTGATATGGAAGGAAGCCAGGCTGGACGGCCAGGGGCTCAGGCAAAGTGCCTTCACGTTTTGTAAAGAGGTATCATTTCCAGATAAAATCCAAGGTAAAAACTGACTTAAAGACCGCAGACTATGCCCCACGTAATGGGGGTGGGGCAGAGTTCCTGTCCTCGCCTGGGTCCACCCCGTCGGGTGCCAGTGTGGGGGCTGCGTCTCAGGATGATGCCCAGTGGTCTCCAAAACGGGAAAGCGTGGAGGCCTCTAGTCTCCCTAGGGAGGGGCCACACCTGTCGCCAGCACAACCCTCAGCGAGGATGCTGGGCTCAGGTGCAGGGAGTCTCGTGCACGAAGTTAGTCCCTGGAGAGCTGACTGTGACACTCACCACCGCCTGCTGAGACTGGCTCGGCATAAGGACAATAAAACACCTCAAATGCACACGTGAGAAATGGCCTAAGAAATAATCCACGGAGACAGTATATATATATATATATGTGTATATATATTTTTTTTACAAATAGTTAAATTGTGTATTTTACTCTGTTGTGACTGGTCATTTCTGCCCTCTTATCTACCCACCTACCTATCTACTCACACAGCTGCCTACCACCGGTATTTTATTAAAGTTAAGTGAAAACAGACACTGCGGCCTGTCCTGTGCAGCCAGACCGCGGAGGCAGGGAAGCACCCCGCAGGCCCGGCCCTGGGCCGGGGCCCTCACATCACCTTGTGGTCTCCCATGCAGACGTTGGGCCCGATGTGGTCGTAGGTGACAACCTTCTCCTCGCTCTCCGACTGGGAAAAGCAAACAGAGGTTACGGCGTGGGAGGCAGGAATGGCCAGCAGTCCCCTGGCCCCGTGAGGGAGTGGCCAGCGGAGGGTGGAAGCTCTGGCAGCCGTGGCAGCACCTTGGCACCCCACGACCACTGCAGTTGGTGGGACCCTCACAGGCATGACCGCCGTGCCCACCACCTCCCGTGCCTGGCAGACACCTTATTTTGGGTTCGAGGGTGAAGAGCTTGGTCCTGGCAGTCAGTCGGCCCTGACTGGGCCGGGACTTTATCCACAGCTGAAGCACCTGGGACTCTACAGTTAAAGCTGAATTCTCTTCAATGCAGCAGGAAGCTTAAGGCCAGATTTACTTTGCTGCGTGCTCACCTGCCAGGAAGTGAGCACTCCCATCCCTCACCATCGCAACGCTGCCCCACGCAAGTGGGGACATTCATCAAAGGCGGCGTGGTAATTTACAAAGGCAGCATAAAATTGTAGGTTTCCAACTGCATAATCCTGAGACAGATAAACAAATGACGGGGGCGCGGCACACCTCGCTGAGCATCCATCACCGGCTTCCAGGCAGCCCCGCTGCGCCCGCCACCTTCAGCGTTGTCGGGCGGGGAGGCAGACGGGACATGACGACGAGGAAACCGAGCGTGGCATGATGGATGAGGCCGAGGAAGCAGCTTGGCACAGCTGTGGCCTGTAACGCCCGCCGCCCAGCATCCCCCAGGGCATCCAATTCGTCCCCCAAAACTGGAGAAGATGTGAATGTAAAATAGTCTAGAACAGGGCCTTCCGCTGAACTGCCTTGAGCCCTGAACACAAGCGTGGCCTCCTGCCAGCCCTCTCTTCATTGGTGTAAGCACTCGAGCTGTCTTAGTGCAAAATGCACTTTTCTAGTTTTCAACTGTTTTTCCAGGTAGGTGACACCTGTCTCATTCCTGAAGGGGCCTGTTCTGGCCGGCAGCCTGTGC